CGAGTCTTCTTCGTCGACCGTGCTGGTCAAAAGGTTAATTTGGTTTTTTCCCATTTTCGGTTGAATCCTTCTGCTCTGTTTGTTTGTTTGGATTCCGAGAAAATAGAGGAAATGAAAAATGTGGAAGCTCCTCATAAATGGGGTTTAATACCATTTTTATGCATTACTGAGGCATTTGGATTTTTATATATTCAAATGAGATATTTGAATTGATTTTGATTTTAGACGGCATAGATCATTTGCTTCTTTGAGGTCTCTCTCTTTCAAATTTGAATTTTATTTTCAATTTTCAGGTTTCCAGACTGATATAATGCACCTGTTTGTAATTGTAGAAATATGGTTTTGTGTTTTCTTATTTTGAGATTAAGTTCTGACTGTCTCTGAGTGATTCTTAGTTCGAACTTGTATTTAAAAGAGTGAATATGTGTATGCAATTGTAAAAGGAATTTAAATTCCCGGTGTTCAGACACATGGTTGGGTTTCGACATGCTTATAAGTTGACTTTTATCTCAATCTGCTAAAACAATATGTTGGTTTATATAATGTAGGTTTCACCTTGGCATGATATACCTTTGCAAGTGGGTAATGGTGTATTCAACTTTGTGGTTGAAATACCCAAAGAATCGAGTGCAAAGATGGAGCTTGCTACTGATGAGCCACACACTCCGATAAAGCAGGATACAAAGAAAGGAAAACTTCGTTACTATCCGTAAGATTTAGTTTTTACTTTTCCTAAGGTTATATTATAATGTTTGTCCTTGTCTTGGTGCTTGAATATGTTACTGTTGTATCAAGTTTAATTTTTGGCTAAGGCAGCATCATGAATTAGAAGATAAGCCACTGTTGGTTCAGATAATCTTTTGTTTTTCAATTTCATAGATGCACAGATTTTATTTGTTTATTTGGCCTGATAGATGCACACAGAAACAGTTTGATTTTATTTGTTTATTTGTATCAAGTTTAATTTTTGGCTAAGGCAACAAATCTTTCTTTCTTCATGCTGTAACCCCATCGCATTACACACGCAAACCCTGCTGGGAATCACATATGCGAAATGTTGACTATCCCCCACTTCTGTTAAACAATTTCAATAATATAATTTGAAACTAAGGTTATTGTAATAATTACACATTACCCCTCTTCTAACTTACTCCTTTCATCTTACATATCTAATGGCCATGGATTTGATCAATTACTCTTCTCACTTTGAGAGCATACATACATATATGTTGGTGTAAAGCATACTTTCTCTTTTTCTACTGCAACCACCATCACATTGCACAAATAGTGTGTGCACGATCTAGTTTTTAACATATAATTAAATTCCCTGAAGTTATCTTTTGTTAGTAACTTTATAATCCTTCTCAGCTACAATATAAATTGGAATTATGGATTGCTTCCACAAACATGGGAAGACCCATCCCTTGCTAATGGTGAAGTTGAAGGAGCATTTGGGGATAATGATCCAGGTATGTCTACTTATCCGTTTTTGCCAATTTCTGTCCTCGCTGAGTGTTACCTAAAGAAGGAAATTTAAAACCTTTGTTTTTTTTTTTGGGTGTGTGTCATTTAAACCCTAATTTAAAACCGTTATTTTTGCTACAAATTGTAGTTGATGTTGTTGAGATAGGCGAAAGTCGGAGAAAGATTGGCGAGGTTCTCAAAGTAAAGCCCTTGGCTGCATTAGCTATGATTGATGAAGGGGAACTTGACTGGAAAATTGTTGCAATTTCATTGGATGATCCCAAAGCTTCTCTTGTCAATGACATTGATGATGTTGAGAAGCATTTTCCGGTATGTACTTCTTGTTAACCAAGCACTAACAGATTTCCCAATTACGCACTCACCAAACATAGAAACCTTGATTAATGGGTATTTATTGTTTTAGGTGTTTTGAATTTTTAAATTCTTATGATTACTGTATGAGAAATGGATATAAGTCTACCCTCTCTTTTGAGCAGTTTGGGTAACTATGGCGGGCGTTTACGCTAAAATGAAAATGGTGATACATGTTCTTTACAAAAAAAGAGGATAAATATTCTTATAGAAGACAAACGCTTTTTGTTGTGCATAAGATCACGTTTACCCTATCAGATCTTACTTTATGCAGAATGAATCCATTAGCCACATTAGCATTTGTACTTGGACATTAATAAATTGCTCTAAAAAGAATAATTACGGTTAAAAGTGCCAAAACCTGTGGGGCTTAATGCTGTGGTTTACATCAGGGGACTCTCACTGCAATAAGGGACTGGTTTAGAGACTACAAGATCCCTGATGGAAAGCCTGCTAACAAGTTTGGTCTTGGCAACAAAGCTGCAAACAAGGTAATTTTACAGTTATCTTTCAATTGCTATCCTTGAATTTATTTATTTATTTATTTATTTATTTTTTTGGGTAAAACCTGAATTTATTTTGAATACTATTGGTTTTTTTTTCTTTCTATTGTCTAATTGTATCTAGGTTGCCAAGTTGCCATTATCAAGAGTCTTTCTTTATATTATTTTTGCTTCTTTTTATTTTGCATGGTTGGTTCCTTTAATGATTCAGTCACCAGTTACCAATGACCTTATGACCTAGTAGCATAGTCCTCCTTGTCAAATGCAAGTGTTGCAAGGAGTCATGACAAGATTTGAGTTCAAAACTAGTTAAGGGGAAAGGGTAAAGGTAATTGAAGGACTACTCCTGTTTTAAAGTCCGTTTCTTTGTTCCAATATATATAGTGATGGGCTTAGAAAATGCATTTGTCTAAGTACAATCTAATTTTGGATTGTAAAGTCTTCAATAATTGCATATGTAAAAGCATAATTCATGTCAAATGTTGACTGTATCAAGAGTTGACTTCAAAACCAGGCAGTGGGACTAGGGGTGGCAGAGGTACTCGTTTCCGTTGCAGTGTATCTATTTGTTTTTTATTTGGTTTGACTTGTTTGCTGGAGTCAATATTGAGCGATAGGGCATGCTTCAAACAGAATTCCACATGATGTCCCACAACATGAAGGTATTCGAAACATGATTGTAAATCCAACAGCCTTTGCTGGACAGTTATTTCAGGTGTCAACTCATACATCAATGTGGAATTAGTGTAGTAGTCATGACAGGTAGGACAATATACCTGGCATTTTAAATAGGTTGTGAAAGCTGTAGTTCTACAACATCTGTCTCAGTCCTTTGGGCTTGACCTTCTGATGCAGGAGAATCTACAGCGCTCTCCAAGACTATGTGGCCAACTTGGCTTGGGTTATACTTAGTTTAGGGTTTTAGTTGTTTCCTTGTCTTTTATTTGTCTTTTTTGAGTTTTATGTTTTATTTAGTTTGACAAATGATAGTTATACTCCTGGTCCTTTCAAGCACTCATCTGATTGCTGTGAGTGTTTAAGTATTTTGGAGGGCCATGATTAAGTAGTTATTAGTATGCAAGGGGTAGGATGCTAGGGCTGCTGTAACCCTAGTTTAAATACTCTTTCAAGAGGATTTGTGACCTAGGTCTGCACTTTGGTTGGACGTGGTAGAGGTTGTTGATGAGGAAACCAAGCCCAACAACAGAGATGGCTGAGCTCTGGCATATGATTGAAGATTTGGGAAGAGTGATACAAGCTCTTCAATGACAGGAACCTTTGGAAGCCTGTGCATAGATTCCAGAAGGCAATTGCAACTCCTTGGACATATCAGAAGGTGGTTTTAAGGATGAAGGTTGTGAAGAATATGCATGATGCTAGAAACCAAGAATATCGGGATCATAGTAGACAGTTAGTTTTGATTATTCAGGTGTGGTTTATGATATCGTGGAGTGAGTTTGGCAACCAGTTAAGTATAAGTCAAATGTTTCGTTGTTGATGAAATTTTGGATGACTTGGAATATGATGGGTTTTCTTATTATTCTAGATATCCGTGCCAGTATTTAATTGTTGTTCATAAGATGATTGCAAAGTTTATTCGGGGTTAGAACTTTTGACAAAATATTTTGGTGAGTAAAAAAGAAGTTGGTGTTGAAAAACTTTTGAAGGAAGATGGTGCAAGAAATTCTTGAAGACAGCATTGAAGATAAGCTCATAACCCTAAATTCCCAGGACCAGATGAATTTTTTAGATAATAATACTTCTGAATGTGTTGAATCGGGGTTGAAATTTTAGTTTGTGATTGTCAAGAGTTTGGGTGATCTTCTAACTCATGAGAAAATTGATGTCAATAAATAACGGGTTTCAAGATTGATAATTGAGAATGAATGTAATGGTTTAAAATGAGCCAATATTCCAAGTATCGCTTTGTTTGGATGGGAAGTATTCAGTTTCGAGCCCAAAAGTCCAGATGAGTTTAGTCAATGACATTAGAGATAATACTTGGACAATCTTTACCAAAGCAATTAAAATTGTAGTTTGCTATCTTCGATGGAAAGTTGCAAGCAGGAGATAATTTGGATTGGAAGGCAAGCCAACATACGTGATCCTTACTGAAGTTCTGGCGGCTTTCTCATGGCAGTCGAGTTTTTTCCAACCTGGTGGATTTGATGCGGGAGCATCTACAAGGCTTTCCAAGACTAAGTGGGTCAGCTAGCTACCTTGGCTTGTGTTCTGTTTAGTTTATGGTTTTAGTTGTTTCCTTGTCTTATATTTGTTTTGTTTGAATTTTATTTTTATTTAGTTTCGAAGATTATAGTTATGCTCCTACACGTTTATAAGTAGTCATTTGACGGCCATGTGAGTATTTTGGAGGGTTAGGATTACTTAGTTATGTAAGTAATCAAGGGCTAGGATGTGAGGGCTGCTAATTCTAGTATATATAGTTATTCTTTTAAGAGGCTTTTAGTTTGATGCAGCATTTTCAGAAATTTTAGGCTATGGAGTTCTTTCTTAGGTCATTTTGCCCTGTAACTCAATTATCGATGTTCCAACTCTATTCTATTGCTTGTTATCTCTTATTGCTGGAAATTCTGTTATAGTGTGGTTTGGTACTGTTGCAGCAACTAGGCAGTAGCATAAGGCTTTTTGTCCCATATTACCTTCTTTATTTACTTTTCTTTAATAAGCATAAAATAAATATAATGCCAGACATTGGATTATGATCTGTGTGTGTGTGATTAGTGTGCTTTATATCTAATTTTAGAAACATTTCTTGTCATGAACAGGATTATGCTCTTAAGGTCATAACCGAAACCAATGAATCATGGGCTAAGCTTGTCAAGAGATCAATTCCTGCTGGAGATCTGTCACTTGCATAGATGGCTGCTCGAAGTGAAACTCCGGGCATTTATTATTTTGTACTTTTGGCGATTCATTAGAGATTTTTCCTTTTGACCCCAAGTCTTCTGTAGTATTTTGTAGCATGAGTAAAATAACAACTCGGTCTCCTTACTGGACAGTTGATTATATTTCATTAGCTGGTAACTACGCTTCTGCTGCATGTATGGGGTGTGATTTCACCAAAAGGTACATTTCGAATCAGTTACTATAGTCAAATTGGCTTTGAATGTGGAAGTATTCCTGTTCTGTTACTGTTGCGATGCTCGGAGAATGCCGAACTGCTAGAATTTTCGCCTTTGACTTTTGTCATGATTCTTGTGTTCCACCCTAATTCTTTTTCTCCCCCCTCTTTGATAGATTGTAATCGAAAGCTTTGAATTAGTGTTTGTCTATTCTATCTGTAAGTCAAATGCCAAGGAAATGTTAAGGGCTAAGCTTCAACCATGCACTTTTCCTGGCCATGATGGTCATGATCTGCTCTTGCTTTTGCAGACAATTGTTCTTATCTGAAACCCGTATCGTTTTGAGTGGTAAGACTTCGACACCGAAAATGGTTGTTGCAGGTGGTGCCTTTGAAATTGACATAAAGTCCTCGTGTATATAATAAACAATAAGACATCGATTAAGTGAGAAATTACTAATACCAGCAAATAAAACAGTCTGGGATGCACATGATTGGCCTTAAAAAGAGTAAAATTCCAGCTAACAATGGTTACCAAAGCTACCCGCACTGCACTCTTTTGCTTATTTTTCTTACTAAAATCCTTTTTCTTGGTTTTTCCTTTTGTCTAAAATACTTTTTTTTTAAAAGTAATTAAAGTGATTTTTTGTTAGTTTTTTTTTTTTTTGGTCAAACGGAATAAACTTTTATTATATAGAATTTAAATTTGGAATTTATGACCTCTAAATTCCATATTTTTTCCCACGTGGAATTTTCAAATTTCTTGATTTTGTTATCCAGACACGGGAATTGGTGTATGTCGATTTACAATTTCTGATTTTTGTCCGAGTCCCAAGTTTATTTTCCTCATTCACACACATCGTAAAGTCTGATAGATAGGTTTACATCACTAGTGAGAGAATCAAATAGCCAAACCGGTACGAGTGCTTCAAACGAGCCTAATAGCGCACTTTTGGTATGGGAACTAAGCTTGAAAAGCTCTCTACGTTCTGCGCATAAGAACAGTGAACACAACCTGAATATATAGTACAATCAACAAACAAAACTATATTCGTAGACGTAGACCTACGTTTGCTCCCAACTCGAGCTTGTTGCCTCGTTTGACTGAAACTATACTATTCACACAATCAACGACTTGCACCACATTGCTTCCACTGTAGTGGTAAGCAGTGGTCTTAAGGGGAAGATACTTAACATTTCCGGTCCCGGGATTTTAGGAGACAATACGTCCATCTGTCTGTGGCAATCATAAGAACCTCGTGGCTGTTCCAAAACAACATTACATTTGGATAGATGTCCGGTGGGAGCTCATTAGAGGTGAAGCGTCTTGTCCAAGAGGATGCTTGAGCGTCAAGCAACAAGTCATCCATCACCCATATTTCAAAAATAGCACCACAAACCTTGAAGAGTGCGATGGATTCTTCATTCCACACTGCAAGCTGTTTGCGCTGAAAGGGGATCATGTTGTATGTTGTAACCATATAACCATATACCTAAGCAATTCGCCTGCGCATCTGTGTCGTTCGTCTGCGAATTCCTCGCGTTGCTCAACTCCATTCCAGTAAAAAATTCCTTTGAAGCAGGTTTGGAAATGTTCAGGCCAAAATCTAGTAGTTTCCGTTTCCAGAGTCATTCTCGAAAAACCGTTAGTGTTCAATGTGTCCATGCCTATCGACTTTGGCAGGATTAATAACCATACGCTCGCCATACTGTTCTTCACCACAATATAGAATGCGAACAACTTTGTAGGACATAGTTTTGGGATCATAGCCAAATCCTGTCTTCAGAAAGAATTTCAAATTCTTTTATTACTGGTGTCTTCAGAAATAGAAGAAAGATGCCGTCACAATGACCTACAATTCCTACACGGCTATATTGCTCAACCTCAATGATTTGGCCTTGGCCTCTAGTGTGTAGACCCATAGAAGGCGGAAAATGAAGATCCTCAACAACACAACCATCTAGGTTATCATTCAACAAGTCATCATTTGGAAGATTAAGTAGTGAAAATAGTATTTTGTCCTTGTGGATGTTGATGTCCGGCGACCAACCTATAGAGGCATAGAGCTTGAAAAGGACATGTGGAGGTGGAGGAGGATTGGTTGTCAAGTGCCGGAGGTACAACGAAGGATGGATGGTTTATTATTGAGTTCCATGACTTACGGACGCACTTG